GGATCAAGGCCCTTTGTCCTCCAAACAGAAGAATTTCATCAAAACTGTGCATCCTTGCCCTCCTCTGTGAAGCTGCTTCTGAAACCAGCAGGTTCCCTGGACATTTCCCAGGCAGAGCCGGCGTGGAAGTTCGGCGAGTCCGACAGCCCCGTGTCGCTTCCAGATAAAGCCCCGTCAGCCTGCCATCTGAACATCGCTTCCTCCAGAGGTTGAAGGCGCCTTGGCCCCCATGCACAGCCCACCGCCCGCCACCTGGGGCTCGGGGCTTGCTACCAGTCTGTGGCTGCTCCTCAACGCGACAGGCTCGAGCATAGTTGTAGTCGTGAGGATAATTTCCAGAACGAAGCTAGAGAAATGTGCATGTTTACGGGCCTCGCTTCCCTCTAAAGCCCTCGCCGAGGCCGGCGGGCACTTTTCAGCCACCACGAGGCGCGGTGCTTTATGCCGGACAAAGAGAACTAGATCATGAGACCTCACCTTTGTTCTCTCTCTCCCTCACCTCGCCCTCGGCCGTCAGAAACAAGGCATTGTGAAAAATGATTGTCCAATTTTCCCAACGTGATTGATTTGCTGCAATTTTTTTTTTAAAGAAAGAAAAGGAGGGAGCACCATCAAGCACCCCCTCTCCTGTCCCCTCTGCTGCCTCCACCGGTCGGAGTCTGTGCCAGGGGACTGGCCGTGCCCGCGTGCCCGACAGCCCGATGGATCCCAGATGCTGGGGACACGTCTCCTGCTTCGCTGTGTGCGGGTGGCACAGGGTGGCACCGGAGGGGCACAGTACTGCCCCTCGCACAGTTCTGCCCTGGCTACTTGAAAGAAACCAAGAGGAAAACATTGGAAGTGACAGCCACAAGGAAGATGAGGGAGAAAGAGGAGGAGGAGGAGCTGCTGTCATCGCCAGAGGGCAGGGGACATGAGCCCTTTCCCTGGTGTCCGAGGCAAGGAAATTAACCAGTCAGCTCTGATCGCAGGTTTTCCTCCTTCTTTGTTGCCCTTTCACCTCGCTTCCCCAGATTAAACTCCGAGAGAACTGAAGAGCCTTAAGAAACACGGCGACCTGCCTCCTGTCTGCGGTCACCCCTTCGTGGGCGCATTGGGCGGCCCGAGTCCCAGTCCGCAGGTGAACCCCGTGTTGAATATTCCACAGAGACAGTTACGTGGGCCAGGCACTGTTTCCTGGGCCGGTGATGCCTCCAAACAAACAGAACCAAACCAATATTCCTGCGCTCAGGGGCCGACCTCCTAGTGAGGAGGGACGTTCAGTAGACAATACACTGGGTACCTGGTGTGCCAGATGGAAAAGCGAGGAGGGGACTGGGAGCGTGGGGTATCAGGAAAGATGCTTGAGGAGGTGAGGGAGGAAGCCACAAGTCCTCTAGACAGAGGACGCAGCCAGTGCAAAGGCCCTGGGGCACTGGCCTGGCAAGTTTGAGAGGCTGCACGGTGCCCGGGTGTGGCTGGAGCAGGAAGGGGGCATCAGGAGGTCAGATGGGAGATGTGAAAGCATCGGGGAGCCGGTCCCGCAGGGCTTTGCCAGCCATCGCTAGTTCCCTGGCTTTCGCTGCATGGGGTGTTCTCTTAGTCTTGTGCAACGAATGAGGAATGAGAAATGATAATAGGAGTCAGCGTGGGTTTGTGATGTGCTTGCCAGACACCCTCCACATTCCTCCGTGGCTGGGGAGACCCCCAGGAACGTTCTCCGCAGCGCGACAGCCTCCTCCAGAGCCTGCTGCCGCCCCGCAGAGGCCTTCAGTCTAGCGAGTCCCGCGCCCTCTTCTAGAAGATCTTCTGTCTTTACTTCCTCAGCGAACTCACCCGGCCTTGGGTCTTCGTTGCCATCCAGAGTCTGACCAGGGCCAAGTGTACATACGCAGTCCCAACCCTTCTCCCGAACTCCAGACGGGTACACCCAGCAGCCCACTCCTCATCTCCACCCGTCTGAGAAACCCGGACTCAGAACGTCCACAGATACACTCCCGGTTCCAGTGTGAGAGTCAAACCCGAGTACACCCAGCCCGCCCCTCCCACCGCCTTCCCCACCTCAGGAGACCGCAGCCTCCCCCACCCCCGCTGGGCAGGCATCCGTGAGCCCTTCCTTCGGTTTTTCGTGCCCCGTATCTAAGCCATCGGCAAGTCCCGTCTGCTCTACATTCAAAGCATGGAGACCTGGCCACACCCCACGGCCACCTTTGCCGCCGCCCCGATCTGCGCCGCCACCGCTGGCTCTCGCTTTGACCACCATGATGACAGCCTCCTAACCGCGCTGCTGGGACCTACTCACCAAGACTCTCTCCTCCACGTGACAGCCCACGGCCACTCCGGTGCTCAAACCCTCCACGGCCCCCATTTTTCTCAGAGTGAAAGTCCACAGCCGTGCTGTCCACTCAGGACGTGCCGGCACGGAGGGAGGTTTCCACTCTGCTGTCCAGTGTGGCAGCCTCAGGCCACGTGTGGCTGTGGAGCACTCGGAATGTGGTCAGAGCCACTCCATTTCTTTCTCGCTTTAATTAGTTTACATTTAAACAGCCCCGTGTGGCCGGGGGTGGCTACCCCACTGGACAGTGTGAGAAGGCCCAAGCGAGTGGCCCCTCCTTTGGCTTCTTCCCCTGTCCCCTGAGTCGCACACCCGCCCCCTTCCAGCCACTCTGACCTCTTATGTTTGCTCCTCAGAAATGCCAGCCTCAGCCCCACTGTGCGCTCTTTCCCCGGTGCGTTGTTTCTGCGTGGAAGGTGGCCCCCCGAGACAGCTGCGTGGGTGGCATCTCGCCTCCGGCAGGCCACCTTCTGAAGCCCACCCCACCTCCCACCCGCATCTGCTCCCAATCTACCTGCCTTACTCTTCCTTTTCTTTTTTACTTACTTCTCACCTGCTAGCAAGTGGCATCGTCACTTACTTCTCGGGTCTGTTGTTTTATATCTGCCCTCTGAAACGCCCACTCATCCAGGGTGGCCACTGCTGAGCCACCAGCACCTTGAAGGGGGTGTTCAGTGCCGGTCTGTTGGAAGGACTCAGTCGGGGAAGGCCGGGCCCCGCCCCGCAGCCCCCCAGGTCCTCCGTGGGGAGCACTGGTGTTTGTGGCTTCCTCCTGGAATGCACGGCGTCCCCAACCCTGTCCATTCATCAGCTAAGCTAAGAGAGTCGCTCCTTGCCAGCCTGGTGTCAGGTGCTAGGGACACAGCAGGGACCAGGGCAGGCAAGAACCTCTGCCTCAGGGAGCGGACGTTCACTTCAGGACATAGATGCCGGACAGCAAACGGGAAAAGCAGACGTGTAATCGGTGTTAGGTAGAAACAAGGGTTAAGAAGGAGAGAATGAAGGCACCCGGGTGAACCTGGAGCATGGAGGCGTCTCTGAGGGAGGAGAGGGACCCAGCTCAATGGAACCCGGGAGAGTGTCCCACGAAGAGGGAAAAATGAAATGAATGGGAACAGCAGACGCCGAGGGCCCTGCGGGAAGGGGGACTGAGGCCTGACGCTCGTTGGGATGCAATGCACGTGACATTGGAATGCAGTAAGGTCGCCCAGGGGAGACGGGCCCCAGGTCCACTGAGCCTCGGGTCTCCTACTTCCTCTCCCGTCACCGAAGCTGGCTCCAGTCTCCTGTTTCGCTGAGTGCCTAGGACATTCATAGCCTAAAACATCTTTTTAATGGCACACTTGCAAGTGAGATTTTATGCAGAAGCCACCAAATAACAGATGTGAGTGGAGCCGTTCCGGCAGCAGGTTGGAATCCACACCTTTCCCGCCACTTCTTGAGTCTGCTGAAGGCACCTTGGTGAACCCCAAAGATTCCAGGAGCTTTAGTTAGAAGCGCCCCGCCCGTGGCGTGCATGGCGTCAGGGAGCCCGGCGCTGCCTCCACTGGTCCACATCCATGTGGGAGCCTTATCGTCACACGCAGACTGTCACCTCCTTCCTGGTGGGGAGGTGTCCTCTCTGACGTCCCCTGACAGGGCCCCGAAGCGTGGAGTGTTCTGGAGAGGACCACGCACCTAGCATTATCCTCCTAGTAAACGCCGGGCGTCGGCTGCCCGACCCTGTCCTGTCCCACTTCTGTGTGTCTGAGACTTCGCTGAAGAGCGAGTTTGAAAACAAATGCAGATTCCACAGTCAGAGGTGGGGTGCATAGAAATCTGCCGGTTTAACGAGCGTCCCAGGCGACCTGGGCAGCTGTCTGCACGCAGCTCTGTCTTGGAAGGACACGCAAGTCGCCCGTCACGTGGAATGGTCCCGAGTGGAGCCTCACTTCATGACCACTAATTAGAGTCGTGTTATTTGGGGAGTTATATTCCAAAAGCAAGGAAGATTCAGTGCAATTCAAGGGTCAAGGTAGGAAGATGACTTTTCAATTAAAAATAACCTTCGATAGTATCAGAACTACACCTTGTTTGACGAGCCTGTGGACAAGTGTGCATTAATGTCATTACCCGAGGGACAGCTAAACTTAGCACGAGGTGATGTTCTACATGATGGGCTCCCACCCTGCACCCCACCCACCCCACCCATAAAGTACCAGGGTGAGGGCTCCAGTGCCTCGTCACTGTGATAGAGGATGCGGAGCTCTCTGTCAACAGCCCTGATTTGTGGCAAAGAGAAACCCTCTCTGTGGGCATGAAAGGTCAGGCACGTTCTGCTCTGCTCTTGCTTCATACACTCGCTTGCCAATTCCTAGTCACATTGTCTGGGTTCAGACGGCTTCTCAGGCAGGAGCCCCATCCTACGAAATTGAGAACCGCCATGCCCGATTCAGTATCTGGCGTTCGTGAGTGACTGACTTAGTCATCATCAGAACCGGCTACATCATCAGCAAGGCCCAATGTGCAGGGTGAAACTGCAGGTTCAAACGATATTAAAAAATTTCAAACATTCTTAAGACTTTGGTGATGGCCACAGCAGAACATGCAGCCAAGCTTGGGGATCTCCCGTGTGGGGGCACAGTGGGTCCGCACAGATCACACATTCATGAAGCCGGCCCTGGTCATCACTGTCTTTTCCTTTCCCAGCCGCCCGATGACCAGACCTGGGTTTCTTCTCTTGGTGGACATGGTGCAAGCCACGTCCTTCGGGACTCTCGACCCTGGTCCCATGAACACGCCCTGCCCCTACTCTCACCCCAGTCACTGCAACTTCTTCCTGGCAGCTGGGAAGAGCCCTGTGTATGGGAGAGAGGCAGTTCAAAAGCAGGAAGGATTTCTTGTTGGCCTGCCCTTCCAGTGAACACACAGACCTCTGGATTGCCCCTGCATGGCCTGCGGCTCCCCAGGACCCCTGATATGGTTAAAGGCAGGGGCCACAGGTCTACAGGTCTAACAGCATAAAAGCCATCCATTGCCTCGGAGGTGAAGAGTGGCTCAGACAGCCTTCCCCTTGCCTGCTGTTGGCTCACCCACAGCCCCACCGCCCCAGCCCCCAGCCGCCCAGCATCCGCTAAGCCACTGGGTCGTAGCGGCCGGTTTCCTTCTCGGCGCCCCTGGCGGACTGAGTGTTCTGGGAGGACAGGGGCCAGGCCCGAGAATCCCCAGGGACTTGAACAGACCCTGGCACATGTTCGGCACTTAATTAGTGTTTGTTTAAATGACTGAAAGGAAATTAATAAATGAAGCCCAGATGGCAAAGTTAGCTTCTTATGGCTTGCGATGGAGTTTTTCAAACCATCTTCTGAATTCTCTTCCACGAGAGTACTAGAAGTATATTTTAAAAAGCAAAACACTGAAGCCATGTTGAACCCCCATTAGCACCTTCTGGAACCTTCCTTCCCACTACATGTGGTCCTGGGTGCAGCAGCAGCAGCCTCACCTAGGAACTTGTTAGAAATGCAAACTGGCAAATTCTCAGGCCCCTCCCCAACCCCCCTGAGTCAGACACTCCGAGGGGGGCCCAGCAGTCCGCGTTTGGATGAGGCTCCAGGTTACCCAAACGGCCCTCCCCTGACAGGACTAGACAGTGCCCTGAGGAACACAGTTTGGGAAACAGGACTTACAGAATTCCCTTCCAGGTGCACTTGGATTTAAAGACAAATCGACCGTTTGCAGCAGCAGCCTTGACAATCTCAAAGAATTAAATTTTATTGTGGAGTCTTACATAGTAAGTCAAAATCCCGTAAGGCTGGTTCTTGATAAAGACATTTATTTGACTCAGCCAGGAGGACCCTTGGGTGAGAATAAGAGAAAAAAGGTGAATACTCATATTAAGTGTCATTGGTTTTTTTAAGGGCTGTTTGTGGATGTGAAGCTAGAAGGTGAGTTAGGAGGAGACACATGTACGGTGAAGGAAATGCTGACATGCGACCTAGAAGCTCTACCAGAGGAGCCACCTTGTACAAGGTCTGAGCCAGACTCTGAGCCTTAATTTCTTCACACACGAAGATGCACGCAGGGCTGCCACGGAGGGTTGGGCAGGCTGGCCCTGCACAGGAGGGCCCAGCCGAGCAGCAGGCTTTGCCCCCCCCCCCCCCAGAGGAAGGGGCACCTCTGTGTAATGCGCTCAGAGACACACCACCGGCCGAGTCTCGGTGACTCCTGGCCCTGCCTGCCTCGTCAGGTTGTGAGGATCCAAGAGACAGCGAGTGAGAAGCAATTTCACAACTATAAGCGGTAGTATGAATACGAGATGGGACTTTATGTTGGTCGTTGCTGCAGCAACATGCTTGTATTTTGACATTTCATTCAGCCAAGCTGACCAAAGGCCTGATATGCTCACAGAACACAAATCACTCCCATCCACAGAAGCTCACGCAACCGGCACGGGAAAAACCAGCAAGACCTTTGTGTCTCAGGACTCTACGCTCCTGTGCAGCTCCCCACGCCCGTGAAGGGGCCGCCCCTTTATGCGGTAATCGCAAAGGCCTGACGGAGACCTGTAACAGTGTCTGCGATGCTGTAGCTTAACCTTCGCTACCAGCTGGTCCAGGGCTCAGTGGTAGACCCTTGGGAGGGCTCTGCTGGGTTGGGCTGAGCTGGCCTGGGGTTGGGGAGGGACCCATACACAGAACCCCAGTGCTCTTCAGTCGGGCAGTGGACCCTTGGAGGGGAGCCAGGCCTGGCCTTCGTCACTCTCATGCCGAGGAGGGGAGGAGACCCCTTCTGCCCTTTGCATTGGGAACACACATGAAATTCTCGTGTGAGCACAGTCAAACTCCCGGTCGACCTGACTCCTTAAGTCCCAGCGCATAAAATCGAGCACCAACAGCACTTTCTATCAAGGCAAACTGTCCTTGCTCATCGCCACCTTGTGGTGGCTCAGCACTATAGCAGCGGCTGAGGTGAGCTGATACCCACCTTTGGGGCACTTTGGACATTTGTAGAATTCTCCTTCCTTGGGATCAACCCCTTTGCTTCCTTTTCCTCAGTGTCCCATTGGAGAGACAATTAGTGCATCTCGCTGAGGTATCTGGGTAATCGGGATGAACTTGGCCCACCAGCCAGGTCTCTCTCCAGTCCCCACTTTTCCTTCCACCCGCCCCCTTGACATAGAACCTGGTAAGGCTCCTTGCAACCCCCAAATGTTCTGGTTTCCCCAAAGGGGACCTGGGCTTCCCAGGGAATGTGTTAAAAATAGGCCTTATTTTGTATTGCAAATCAAAAACTCCATCTCTGACCCCTCCCCCACCAGGGTCCCAGGGGAACTTCTGCACAGCGAGATAAGGTGGCTGGGTGCCTGAGGGCTGCCGGGTCTTCAAAACATGGCTTAATTAAGTTCCAGCCAACAGGCGACATCCACAGCCAACGGGCTCTTGGGAGATAAGACACAAGACACATCCACAGATGAAGGGCAGAGCTTAGAAGACACAATGAAATAAATCAGGGGCAGCACAGCCCATTTGCAAATGCAAATCCTCGTGCCAGGAGCCCTGCCCTCCACTGGGCGCTGAGAAGCCTGGTCCTGGGATGGGAGCCTGCTGGCCCTTCTGCCCGCTGCTCTCCATGGCTCCGATGGAGACCGAGCGTGGGAGTAGCTGGATGGGAAGGGGAGGCGAGGCGCCCCCAGTGGAGGGGAGTGTGTGTGCCTTCTCAATTCCGGAAGCGAATCCCCAGGGGCTCATTCCTTCCGAGCCTCCCGCCTCCTGCCGGGATGTGGGGGCATCCACAGGGCGCTGTCTCCCTGTGACCTGCGCCTGGCGCTGCCTTCCTGAGAATTCTAACTACATTCTTCCGTCCTCCAGGGGCAGGATTTTTCTGGCTCTTTCGTCATCAGTCGCCCACCCACCTGTCCCATTCTACATATCGAATATGAGTTCCCAGGGCTGCAAGGCTCCTTCGTGGCATCTATATAATACAATACCTATTATACATTATATGCGTTACCTATGTTATATATAATACATATTACATATATAAATACATAAGCATAGCCCCCACCCAAGAAACCATGACTGTTCCTGGACTTAGTGCTGGGTAAATTGAAAGCTGCAACCCTCCTTTGCTAACAGCAGAGTATACTTCCTTTGCCCAGGTACCTAGATCTTAACAGCAGAGTTGGCAGATTTCATGGTGTATGGTACAGACACAGAGTAACTCTCACACTTGGACTTGCCGAGGTTTTTCATGAAAACCTCTATAGACCATACAGCAAGTCTTTGAATAACATTGTTTGTTAAAATATTGATGGAAAAAAATCGATTCCCAGCCGGGTCCACAGGCTGTGTGGGGTTGGCTCGTTGGCTCGTCCTTCCCGTTCCTTTGCTGGGGCTCCTCCTTGGCCCCCAGTTCCCCCCCCCCCCGTGCCCCGAGTACCCGCAAGTGAGGTGAGCTGGCGTGTCCGAGACACTCCCATCGGAGTGAGTGAGGGTGCGTGTGAGCGTGCCCTGGGACGGAAGGGCCCCAGCCCACTGCGACCCTGAACTAGGACAAACGGGTGGGAAAATAATGACCTTAATTGTTTTCATTCATCTTTCTTAAATGTATGTGTAGCTGACATTTCTTTCAATTGTTAATATTGGAGGTGTCTTGGGTCTTTATTTAGGAGCTTGGCGATGTTTTCGTGACCAGAAATATGCTGTAGGAACTTAACTCTTGTGTGTATCAATTAGCCTACCGTAAACTGCTTTCCTCATAGGCCGTTTTGTTTGAAGGTGCGGTTTCCAAGAATCTGGGGGCAGTGGTGAGAGGGCTTGCTCTGCGCCCCTGGAGGGAACCGGTGTCAGATCCGCTGGTACAGTGAGCTTTGCCCTGTGGTTTCTTTGGAGTCACCTGCCCTCTTCCCCACCCCTCTCCAAAATAAACTAAATGCACGATTTTAATTCCAATAAATTACAATTGGTAAAGAACTTCCCAGCCTTCTATAGGATCACTGTTGGGAGAAGAGCTTTCCCTCCCGAAATTCTCAACTGTTTTATGGTCATGAAGCTTCCGGTTATGATGCACCATGCGTCCCCCTTCTTCGGCGATGCCTATTAAAATACCTAATCCAACTCTTCAACAAGCTGTGCCGATGGCTCCATTCTGAGCTGTGGCATTTGACAGCTTGCCTCCTCTCACAGGCCCCGTGTGAGCCTGAGCGGGGTACAGCCCCAGCCTGTGCTCTGGCCTCCGATCGCTCTGCCTCTTAAATCTCTCCAAGTTCACAGCCAAGCAAGAGGCAGGCACAGCCACCAAAAACCTCTGCAGCTTGCGTCTCTCTGGATCAGTGGAGTTTGAACATCCAGCGCAGGATCCGCCAGGTCTGTGGGGGCCTCTTCAGAGAGAAAATCAGCCCCCATCACAGCAGCCGAAAGCCCCAAGCCGACACGTCCACAAACCCCAGACGCCAAGCCACGCGGGCCCTCGGCCACACTGGGGGCCAGGCCCACACTCGCTTCTGGTTTTCCGCACAGAAAAGGCAGCAGTGTGTTCCCGAAATGAACTCCAAAGCCCTGCCCTGCCCCAGGATGAAGATCCACTTCCTATTCCATTTCCCATCCCAAGTTCTCCAAGTCAAAGCTTAGAGGAATTAAAAGACTGAGTTCCGAGTTCAAGAGCCACCCTTCCTGACCGACCGTTCTGCTTGGTCTGTGCCGGGTGCAGTTCACCCTGACACCCGGGAGAATCAGATCTTCGGTGGACGCAGCGTGGGTCTCCAGGAGGGCGTGAGGTTCCTCCAGGACCTTGACGTTCGGACCTGTTCTGCACCAAAGCTCTGACAGACACCCCACTTGAAAACAAGAGCTCGAGATCTCCCACGTGTGTGATAACAGCACTAGCCTTATACCTGCTGTCTTGACTTGGCTTGCACTGAAAACAGACCCTGAATTAAGGGTTTGGAGGCAAGCAGTTTATTGGGAAGGTGTGAGGATTGAATCAAATCTTGAAGTCCTAGCCCCCCACACCTCATAATATG